AAAGTGCATTTATCCATCATAAAAGTGCATCTATCCATCATAAAAGTGCATCTATCCATCATAAAAGTGCTTCTATCCATCATAAAAGTGCATTTATCCATCATAACAGTGCATCTATCCATCATAAAAGTGCATTTATCCATCATAACAGTGCATCTATCTATCCATCATAAAAGTGCATTTATCCATCATAACAGTGCATCTATCCATCATAAAAGTGCATCTATCCACCATGAAAGTGCATCTATCCATCATAAAAGTGCATCTATCCATCATAACAGTGCATCTATCCATCATGAAAGTGCATCTATCCATCATGAAAGTGCATCTATCCATCATAAAAGTGCATCTATCCATTATAAAAGTGCATCTATCCATCATACAAGTGCATCCATCCATCATGAAAGTGCATCTATCCATCATAAAAGTGCATCTATCCATAATAAAAATACACATCTATCCATCATGAAAGTGCACCTATCCATCATAAAAGTGCATCTATCCATCATAAAAGTGCTTCTATCCATCATAAAAGTGCATTTATCATCATAAAAGTGCATCTATCCATCATAAAAGTGCTTCTATCCATCATAAAAGTGCATTTATCCATCATAAAAGTGCATCTATCCATCATAAAAGTGCATCTATCCATCATAAAAGTGCTTCTATCCATCATAAAAGTGCATTTATCCATCATAACAGTGCATCTATCCATCATAAAAGTGCATTTATCCATCATAACAGTGCATCTATCTATCCATCATAAAAGTGCATTTATCCATCATAACAGTGCATCTATCCATCATAAAAGTGCATCTATCCACCATGAAAGTGCATCTATCCATCATAAAAGTGCATCTATCCATCATAACAGTGCATCTATCCATCATGAAAGTGCATCTATCCATCATGAAAGTGCATCTATCCATCATAAAAGTGCATCTATCCATTATAAAAGTGCATCTATCCATCATACAAGTGCATCCATCCATCATGAAAGTGCATCTATCCATCATAAAAGTGCATCTATCCATAATAAAAATACACATCTATCCATCATGAAAGTGCACCTATCCATCATAAAAGTGCATCTATCCATCATAAAAGTGCTTCTATCCATCATAAAAGTCCATCTATCCATCATAAAAGTGCATCTATCCATCATAAAAGTGCATCTATCCATCATAACAGTGCATCTATCCATCATGAAAGTGCATCTATCCATCATAAAAGTGCATCTATCCATTATAAAAGTGTTTCTATCCATCATAAAAGTGCATCTATCCATCATGAAAGTGCATCTATCCATCATAAAAGTGCATCTATCCATCATAACAGTGCATCTAGGCTATCCATCATGAAAGTGCATCTATCCATCATAAAAGTGCATCTATCCATTATAAAAGTGCATCTATCCATCATAAAAGTGCATCTATCCATCATAAAAGTGCATCTATCCATCATAAAAGTGCATCTATCCATCATAAAAGTGCTCCACACAGCTCTGAGGGGTTACTAAAGGCCTTCTGGAGCGAAGCAATGTGTTTGTGTAAGAAAAATATTTAAAACTTTATAAAGTAAAAAAACTAGCTTCCGGCCAAACGAACATACGGATTCCACTTAAGTCTAAAGCAAAACGCATGAAGGAATCATAAAAGGACAAAGGTAAAAGACTAAACTACTCATTCAGAGGGAATAAACTACTCATTCAACGAAGCACTCACATGAAAACAATATCAAACTATTTCCAATAAATTTCTATTAATTATAAGAATATTTCAAATATAATATATAATGTAGAATGTATATGTAGTTTGAAAAGATTAAGTCATTCCATAATACTTCATGGTTGTTGCTGAGCTCATTTACCACAATTTACATTTCTATACAGTTCTCTGATTGGATCTCTCTTCAGAATTATAGGTAGTGGAGATCTTCACCACAAATTAGTCTATTAAACATGATTTTTTTAAAAAAATGTATTTAAGCTGAAATTATACTGATAGTATACTGACTTGCGACTATTTGCTTTTCAGGATATTCAGGACAATCTGTTTTTCTAAATTTTCAAGCAAGTTTTTCTAAATTTTCTAAATTTAAGCACTGGACAAGCTCAAGCCAGCACAATCAATCTATCAAGCCACCATAAAAACCCAGATGACACTATGCGTCCCACCTTCTTTAAGGTCTTCATTATGAATGAATTAGTTGAATTAGTTATATTTAATTATATCACTCATATCGCTTAAATCACAACACTTGCCAGTTTGCACTGTCAGACATGAATGTATTGCTCTCAGCAAACACTTGCCTCTCACACACATAATTGTATAAGTGCAAATGTGTTGCGCTCATTTAGATTGACGTTCAGACTAACTCAGAAGTCAATCGACAGATTATTCAAACACACATTAGAAACAGAATAACGCATCTCCCAAGCTCTCCACGAATAGTGCTCGAAATAGCAACGTTTTTTTTCCTTTCACGAACGCGTTTGGCGGGGTGATTGAACTGTGTAATTAGCTGTAATTAACAGTCATTAGGGTTGTTAAAGGTCCCCCCGTCAGGCCTCGGGCACAGGTGTGGGATTTCGCCATGTTTTAACGCTTCCGAAACAACTTTTGTAACCCATTTCATTATAGTACAGCTACATCCAACAATAATTCAAGTTTGCTGAGGTATATAGCTCTTTTAGGGACACTCATCCTCATCGCCAAGCTACAGTATAGACGTCCCGGGATACTGCCACGTCTACATGTTAACACTGTTTTGCTTTTAAAGTGTCTTAATCGTCTGTATATCACTCAAGCTGATGGTTCTATGAGGGGTTAATGCTATAAAGCTCTGTATGTCATTAATTATGGAGCAAGAACCCCCAAAAGGAACCATACCGCCAAAGATAACTGTTTTAATAAACTCAAATTAACTTGCCAAAGTGGTCCTGTCTGAACAGCACTTTAAATATATTACTACCATTCAATGATTCTACAAACGTGTTTGTGGTTTGTAAGGGTGAATTTTTTTGAGGATACACAACGCCAGATATGTAAACTATATTATCAACCAGCTTTAAACTGCTAAATGTGGACAAACAGGCATTGATGCATTAGAAACATTAGCACTATGAATTCATAATGAATCTGTGAAAAGCGCCATACAAGTAAAATTGAAAACTTTGAGTTAAAGGGATACTCCACTTTTTTTTTGGAAATAGGCTCATTTTACAACTCCCCCAGAGTTAAACTGTTGAGTTTTACCGTTTTTGAATCCATTCAGCCGATCTCCGGTTCTGGCGGTACCACTTTTAGCATAGCTTAGCATACATCATTGAAGTGGACAAGACCATTAGCATTTCAAAAAAAAAAAATGACCAAAGAGTTTCGATATTTTTCCACTAAGACCGATGGAAAATGTAAAGTTGCGATTTTCTAGGCTGATATGGCTAGGAACTATACTCTCATTCCTGCGTAATAATCAAGAAACTTCACTGCCGTACCATGAGAGCAGCAGGCGTAATGATATGACACAGCGCCTGAAAATAGTTCCGTTGTGTTGACGGAAGGTGGCCTATTTTCAGGCGCTGCGTCATATCATTACGCCTGCTGCTCTCATGGTACGGCAGTAAAGTTTCTTGATTATTACGCAGGAATGGGAGTATAGTTCCTAGCCATATCAGCCTAGAAAATCGCAACTTTACATTTTCCGTCGGTCTTAGTGCACGATGTAACTACAGAAGAGTCAAGTTTTAAATAGGAAAAATATCGAAACTCTTTGGTCATTTTTTTTTTTAAATGCTAATGGTCTTGTCCACTTCAATGATGTATGCTAAGCTATGCTAAAAGTGGTACCGCCAGAACCGGAGATCGGCTGAATGGATTCAAAAACGGTAAAACTCAACAGTTTAACTCTGGGGGAGTTGTAAAATGAGCCTATTTCCAAAAAAAGTGGAGTATCCCTTTAACACACTGTGGGTGGCCCATGGGCGAGATATCTGAGGATAAGACTACAGTAATGGTTTACAAAGGGCAGTTTTTTTGTGTGATTTTCTGTCCCTTTTTCCCCCTCAGGTTTCTACACCTGTCTGGCTTCAACAGGTGGGCCTTTGTGTTTTATTAGTTGCAAATACATCCAAAGCTACAAGTGCTCCAGACAGCAGGGATGCACAAAACCTCAAAACACCTTGTTCTTCATTTTCTTGATCAACAGCAGTGGTCTGTCTTTATCTGGATGTAATGAGAATGTTGACATGAGGCTCTGCTTAGCTAATGGCGCAACGGTGACAGGGACACCCAGAACGCAGCGAGACGCTGAGCTCCCACTGACAATCTAATGAGCCTGCTTTGATAACCGAGGCACAAAAGAAAATGTATGCAAGGCAGGTCTTTACCACCCTTCATGAGAAAGAGTTGAGTTACTCAGATCAGAACCTAAATGGACTTCCAAGTCAGGAAGAAAAATGCTAGCTCAGGTGCTGAGTGACAATATGACCTCGGTGTGAAGGATATACAGGAAGCTCAAAGGTTCGTTTGTGCAGATGAGGTGGACTAAAGACTTTAATGAGCAGAGTCAGAATAAAGAGCACCAATAGCGAACAGCAGCTCATTAGTCGATATGAACTTTATACCCTCAACTAAACACGCAAACTTTGCTTAGTCACAGTTTGCTTAGTTACAATCCACTGATGGTTTCCCAGCATTTCTTTCATCGTATACATTCAGCACGGCAACATTTGAACTGTATTTCTATGTAAACACCACATTGTCATTGTTTTGGAGCCATGAATTTTACACTTAAGCTCTTGGCTCATGCCAAGAACGACATGAGACCTGTTGCATGAAGTTAGATGAACAAACTCTTGAGTTTCAGAGTAGATTTAGAGTTAAAACAACCATACAAATCCAACATGGTTTAGAGAAGTAAGGTTCAGTGGGCTCATAACACTCGCTATAAGCGTTCTCTGTCAACTCAGGAGTAAACAAAACAAACAGAGCGGTTCTTACCCAAGATCTTTCTCCATACGACTGCCCTGCGAACCCACCACCTCTCCCAACGAACACAAGGCCTGTCCAAGGAAATCCTGCAAACAGAGAGAACATAAAAGGAGGCTGGGAGGTATTTTTTAACATAGACAATTTGAAATACTGACCTTTCATATTGCTATTTATAATATGTCTGAGGTTTCTTCGGCTTTATCTATAAATCACTGGGTCAGAGCAAAGATAAGATTCATCATTTTGATCATTTTGAACATAACTATAGTACAATATGTCCATGTAAACACTGTTAAGTTTCAGGAGTGACAACCGCATTTAAATACGGAGTGAATCCCCTAAATTATCATCATGTTCGTACAGGACATGATTCACTCCCGAAAATTCAATGATTGACACATCGCCATGTTTGGTTTAGCATGTTTGGTATCCACTATTTTTCACCAAATTAATATTACAGCAACCAAAGACTTATGTTCTACAGTTTTTAACTAAGCCGCCATTGAAAGAGGTGTTGTGTTTCATTCATGTTTGTAAAGCTGCTTCACAGAGCGCACTCTTGCAGTGTTAACTTGTCCACTTATTATAAGTGTTTTGGGGCTTGAATGGGCTTGGCTCATAAAGCATTCAACTTTATAGAGTTATAAAGTGGGAAGGTGCGGGTCTTATTTTCAACAAAGCATTTCTATCATGACAACTCTCTGAGAGATTGGCATGGTAATGAGATTGGCATGGTAATGGATATGGCAATGTTAATGTATTTGGTCTTGGCAGAATAGATCTGCTATACGCTGCTGCTGCAGAGCAAGTACTGAGACTTGCTACTGCCAATACATTCACAGACATTGCTGTGAGCATGCTGCTGCTGCACATATAACATACATGAAAAAAAACCCGTAGCAGATCTATACAGGTGGAGCTGGGGAAGTAGGAGGGTTTCTGAAAGACTTCTACCAGCAAACCAACCAAATTTAACTGCAGGGTGTACGTGGCCTATAGTGCCAAATGTATGTGTACACCAAAACACCACAGCCCTGTGTGCTTGTTAAGCATTTCATTTCAAAATCATAGGCATTTATAGAGAGTTGGCCCTCCCTAACAGCTTTCTCCCTTCTGGGAAGCCTTTCCACTCAATGTTGGAACGGGACTGTGGGGATTTGCTACCATTCAAACACAAAAGCACTGTTGTTGGGTGATGGAGTCTGGCTCTCATCCCTAAGGTGTTCAGTAGAGTTAAGGCTTGGAATTGCAGTATGCCAGTTTAAGTTCACAGTAAATCTTTTGTTTTTATGGACCTAACTTTCCCTAGAGGGGCATTGCCATGCTAGAGCAAAAAAACAACAACAACAAAAAAGCCCTCCCAGACTGCTGCCATAAAGTTTAAAGCACTTAATTCTCTAGAATGTTACTGTAAGGTGTGGCATTAAGATTGATCTTAAATAGAATTAAGTGGCTTTCCCAAACCCCAGTGGAAAAATATACTGGATACACTTTTTAATGTATGAAAAGGGAATGATGACTATAGGCTGTCAAGCTTCAAATAAGCTTAGCCAAAGGAGAATTGCCCCACCAACTGAGCCTGGTTTCTCCCAAGGTTTTTTTCTCCATTCTGGCACCTGATGGAGTTTTGGTTCCTTGCCAAGGTCGCCTCTGGCTTTTGGCTTGCTTAGTTGGGGACACTTAACAATATCATTGATCTTCCTGCATTGACACCATTATATGAGAACTGAACTGAGCTGGACGATGACATCACTGTTTTCTCCAGAGCGGCTGTATAGATAAATGAACTAAATTAATAATTTACCACAGAAATGAACCCTCACTGAACTTACTTAAAGGTGAACTAAGTAACTTTTTTACCTTAACCGAACAGCTTTGGAGTCATTGTAATGTTTATATTACTGATTTCGTGTTGAATGGTGGTCATCTCGCACCCCCCTGGTGCCTGTGAGCCGCAAAACCACCCTTGCAACTTTTGGCCGGCGGGCCGCCGGCCTCAGTGTTAGGAAGTATCGTGTGATATCAGGGCTCGCGAGGTAACGAATTGCTTTACGGCAAAAAACAGATCTGATAAAATTCTGATAAAATGAGCATCAAACAGAAATAACCTGGCGCCGATGTGGTGTTCATACAATACAGACTGCCACATACAATACAATACAGCACATACAATACAGACTGCCGACAGTTAAACAGGGCGCGCGCAGCTCTTAAAGGGGCCATACCTTATTTCCACTTGTTACAGCGTCCATCCTACTGAACAGGTACCGGTGTACAGGGGGAGGGGATCCGGCCGTGAATGCGAGCCATCTCTGCGTGAGTGCTATTCACGACAGTACAAGTACTCCACAGCGACTCTAGGGGTCGCTGTTTGACAAAAAACGGAATTCCTACTAGTGCTGCTTTAAGCTGGACTATGACACTATTTTCTTCTAGGCAGAGATGGGCACTCGGGTTAGAGACTCGGACTTGAGTCGCACTCGAGTCATTTTTTTCGAGTTCGAGTTCAGACTTGACTTGGACTCAACCTGAAATGACTTCACTTAGCGTTTGTATTGAAAATAACAACTTGTCTTGTTGCCAGGACGATTGTTTTATACATTGTTCTGGATTATAAAGTAACAAACTCCAGACTTGACTCGGACTACAGATGAAAGACTTGTGAACATCTCTGCTTCTAGGTCTGCTGCTATATAAATAAAGGTGACTTGCCTTGAAAAAAGACCATGAAAGCAATAATATAATCAAAAACAACATTATTTCAAGGGCTGAAGCTGTTCACACATCATGTTGAAATGTTGTCACCCATTTGATAAATGATCTGAAGTGAAGCACAACATATGGCTTAAAAAAGCCATTAGAATTCAAATGATTTTCTTGGCAGAGCTGTGAAGTTTTTGCCCCACTGACCTTCGCAACAGCAGTTTAATAAAGGGCAGGTGATACTTGTGCATATGCTGTGCGTATGCTGAACATAAAAGATTTTCATTTACTATATTTTGTATCAATAAAAATGTGCATCAATGGAAAGTGCAGTGATGGAGAGAGAATGATAAAATGGCCCAGGAGAAAACTAAAATAAGACATCCAGAGAATAAGAATGAATGAGACTAACTGCTTCGCCTTAGCAAGTATGTTTTTATTTATATTTAAAGACATCATTTTATTGTAATACTAACTAGTGGCTGACGGATAGGGGACTTTTCTTTTTCAGAAAAAAAAAAAACAGCAGAGAAACACAGAAAAACTGAGGGACATACTGTACAGTTCTACACATGCATATGCATCTTAAATTAAACTTTGAAATGCTTATGCATTTTAAATTAAATTAAGTTAGATTTTGCATGTCAAATATCCGTTGTTAAACTGATTGAAAAAGTTGTGTATATCGAGAAGAGAATAGGGCCAATCACTAAACCCTGAGGCACCCCAGAGATTATTTAATGTAATTCTGAGTCTTTGAAGCACCTGCCCATGACTCAATCTAGAGAAGTGCATCATTTTAAAGACAACAGGTTTAGAAAGTAAATTTTTTAGTTTACTTTAAAAAAATAATTAGACACAATTAACTGATTATTGGTTAATCAATGGTGTGAGCATGTTCTGTGTCATGTTTGACATTAATAGCCACGTTTCCACTGCCGGGCCAGGGCCGAGTTGTGCTAGTGCGTGCCAGAGCCAGTCGCGTTTCCACTGTCACTTCCGGGGCTTGATCGGGGCTTACTCGGGGCCAACAGCCAGGATTTCTGGCCCGTCGAATACCTTGGGCCAAAGCGGGTCAGCTCGGGCTAGAGGCGTGGTCAAGGTAAAAGGCGGATTTTTTCGGTGTTATGGAACGTTATGATCTGAAGCAAGATGCACATTTCACTTTTTTATATCGCGCAAAATAATCGCTGCTCGAAAAATGGTGAATCGCCTGTACTGGTCTGTCGAAGATACCAAAGCTCTTCTGAGCATTTGGGCAGAAGAAAGGGTACAACGTAAATTTGACGGCTTGTGAAGAAACGAAGACGTTATAAAATACATCGATGCTGAACTTTCTAAGCTAAGCATTCAGCGAGCAACGCTTCAAGTTCAGGGAAAAAAAAGTTGCGGCCGCAGTATTGTAGCCTACAAGGCGATTCAAACGCACAATGGACAAAACGGAGCTCAGAGAAGGAACTTTCCAAATTTCACGGTTCGACTTGATGGACGGTGTGCTGGGTCACCGTCCCTCTGTTAGTGGCGACTCGCGAGACAATCTGGACACTATTGCAGGCTGCAGCCACGGCCGGTGAGTTAATATACATGCAATCTTCCTAACTTAAAAAAATAAATAAATTCATAATACCCGCTGAAATGGGTTGGGTTGTATGACGTTTGATCCAGAAAGGCGTGTTAGGGGCGGGGTTTAGGGCAGTGCTGCGGGGCTACTGGCCCGGCAGTGGAAACGCAAGCCTGGTGTTTGAGGCCCGAGGCCACTGGCTCAGCTCGGCTCGCTGTTAGCCCTGGCCCGGCCCTGGCCCGGCAGTGGAAACGCGGCTATTGATAGCATTAGTTCTTATTTGCACTGTATGCAGATTGTTGTGTTCCCTGGGAGAAAACAATTCATATGGGTTTGGAATAACTAGAGTGAGTAAAATATAACGGTTTTATTTTATTTTTTTCGGGGGGGAACTTTTATTTTTATTTTCAACTGTTACTAATTTATCTTTTCTCTTTGAGTTCATCCTCAGTTATTTAAGAAACACTGCATTTTCCTACTGCTACGCTGCTCCTACGCTACGAGTCCTACTGCTTCTCTAATTACTGCCGGCGACTCAACTTGCAATTTGTATTCTTGAAAATGAACACGAATAATCTATCTTTATTGTCTATAAACTTTACCAAGACGACCTCATCTTCCTCTTTCCCTCTTCATCTATCTCTCACTGTATCTTTCCCTGCATGTGTGTTTTTTTTTCCCCTGCTGCAGTTTCCCTTAATTTTCACCTGACGATGGAGCGTAGTCACTCTTCGCATGTAAACACATCCTGTAATGGTTTTATGCAGTACCAAATTCCCTTTGGGAGTGGACAAGCTGTGTTTGTCTTTCCAAGTCAGGGGGGAAAGAGGGCGATATTGATTTCTGGGTGACCGAGGGAGGGAGTTAAGCACCAGGAAGAACTGTCTGATTTGGGAGATAATTTGGAGGTGGTAATTTTCAGGGATGAAACCTGTGTGCACACTGGAGTCACTGAGGGTGTTTTCAATTACTCTTGTGCATGATGTGTGGAGAGATCAGTTTATCCGTCTCTTTCTCCCAGTGTGTCCACATGATCACGGCAGGAAACAATAGCAGTACAGATGCTGGGGAGCTCTGCCTGGGATACGGAAGGTTTCCAGAGAAATGTGTGGCTGGTTTAGATCAATGATGTTGTTGAGCGTCTGGATAAGTAAATGTCGTGATGTGTTTCATTAAGCAGTTCCACTTTGCAACACAGTCTCATGCACTACGAATGCTGAATTAACCAGCAATACATGACCCCTACTATTGTTAGTTTGCCTTGTAATTACCATGGAATTAACAGACTAAAAATAAAGGTTCCAATAAGAACCAAAATGGTTTTGCAGCCTGATATCATAGGTGAAACTTTGAAAGTCCCATAAAGAAAATCCAATTATTTAGATTTGTAGAAAACCACCAATATAATGGAACTTAGCAAAAGTTCCCCCATGTATTGATTGATTGATTGATTGGTTGGCTGGTTTATTGACAACTGATGCTTGATGGATGGTTGGATGTATGCCCTGACTAATTGCTTAATTGACAGTTCATGGGTGGGAGTTTTAGCTGATTGATTTATTTATTGATGCCAGATGGAGTGTGGGTGGATGTTGGAGATTTTGGGTTGATTGATTGGAAGATTGATTGAAGCTTGAAAGAAATAAAGGACTAGCACAGATGGGACCACTGCAGTGAATTTGCATCTTTTACTCCAAACCATCATCACCGTGTGAGATGACACCTCAGGGACCCGCGTGAGCACCAACACACTGCTTCAATCACGCCACTCTCTCTGTGAGAGCGTTTCTAATCACACGCCTCTATTAACCCACATTTGGCTCTTTATTCTCATTTAAACAGACCTGCTGATTACAAGCACTATGAGATTTTTTTTACTACGGGGTGAGTGTGTATGATGGCATGCTAAACTTCATAATGGCCATGAGGAGATCATGAGCCATGAGCAAGTGTGTATGGAGTCTGAGAGGAAACACAGAGCAGTTTCTGAGACTTACATGTTTTGAGAGGTTGGGGCTCTTGGAGTCGACATCATACCTGAAAAACAAGAGAAGGACATATTGAGAATGGACACACATCAATTCTGTATTTATTGCTTGTGTAATATCAAATGACCTGTTGACCCTGTAGTTCTTTGAACCAACTCATTCCACACAATCAAAGCATATAACCAGCATATCTTTCGACTTCGACCACCATTTTGGATGAATCTTTACACTAACCTAACCACAATGCATTCTGGGACTGCTGCCAACCTTTTGAAAATGATGTCTGTGTATAGGAAGCTCTCACAAAGGTATATGGTAATCATACTTTTTAAAAATAGTTTAATGCAAAGGACTGCAGTGTCACATGACAACAGCTTTGAAATGATTTGGTCTGATATTCATACATGATTTACCATTTCTTTAAAAATGAGAGTTTTAATCTCTTTGTCATAACTGGGGCAGCCAAATCGGATATAAACTCAGCTGTGTGCTAAGCATAATAATTGACGTTCCCTTTCATTTTCAACAAATTTCAAAACCATTCTTCATATTCTCCTCCATTTAACTTTCACTGGAGTATACTGTATGTGTCCGAGTGTTTTAAATGTATGAATGAGGTGGATATGTTACATAAGAAGTCCCAAAAGGGACTGATTTTCTATTCAGCTATACGTCTTCACATTCATAAATACTGCATGACCCTAGAATGGGAATATAACCATACATTGACACAGGCTTAACCCTTAACACACACACACACACAGATACACAAACAACTAGCCTGCTTTCAAACTCAAATACACACAACCAGACCTGAGTAAATTGAGATTTGCTCTTTATCTAGGGAACTAGTCTACGCCCTCAAGGGAGCATCTGGAAGGTGGTAAACTCATCATGGAAGAAAAGGTCTCGTCAGAGGTGTAAGTTGACTTTTTCTTTTGCCTACAGAGTATATTAACCATTCTTTTCTGTAATTTAATTGCTTTACATAACTGCACAGGTTTTTTTTTAACTAAAATGTAGCAACTTTCTTTTCTGAAATTATTTTTGGCTGACATAATCAAGGCCATATGGATGAGAAAAAATAGCCAAAAATATCATTATTACACAGCTCTGTGAAATACTTGATTCTGATTGGTCAATCGCACCATCCAGCGGTATGTTACCCCCCTATCACAACCAGTAAAAACTCCTAACACAGGCTCATCCGGGTAACTGAAGTCAGCGCTTTACGCTTGCTAGGAACATTTTTTCCTCGTGGAAGTTTTGCGTTTGGTGGGCTAATAAAATATTAAAACTCAAATCAACATTTTGTGTACAGTTATTTAAAGGGGTGGTTGATTATGATTTCACTTTTCTAACTTTAGTTGGTGTGTAATGTTGCTGTTTGAGCATAAACAACATCTGAAAAGTTACAACGCTCAAAGTTCAAAGCAAAGAAAGATATTTGCTTTTAAAGAAATCGTTTTTTAAGGACGACAACAAACGGCTGGTAGGGACTACCCGACATTCCTCCCGGGTTAGTGACATCACCAACCCTAAAATTTACATAAACCCCGCCCCCGGGAACACGCAGTCCATGTTGAGAAGAGGAAGAGTTGTTGTAGGAGAGCACATTTGTGAGTTTGCTCAAGCTGTCGCATCCATCTTTTCACATGCCATACAGTACGTAACACAAATGCAATAGCATGTCACTCTTTCGGCATCTTACAACAGTTCCCATACGACCATGACAGAATATGCTAATCAAAGACATGAAGATCGCTAACTCTACATCAGCAACATAAATTCATCAACTAACCATTCAAAAACGTCCTGTTACATTCTACATGTTGTGACTTCTTCTTGAGTCTCTCCATCATTGTCTGACTCCAGTTTAAACATAAAAGGCAGAACAGTTTCTGACATTTTAGTGCTTGTCTTCGTGAGGTAATTGGAGCTGCTAACACACACACACACACAGGAGCTGTTGAAGCTCCGCCCTCTGTGCCAGGAGCACCAGATCATTTGCATTTAAAGGGACACACACGAAACAACATTTTTACTGACCTTCAAAAAGGGACAACTTTAACATGCTGTAAAAAAATATCTATGGGGTATTTTGAGCTAAAACTTCACATACACACTCTGGGGACAACAGAGACTTCTTTTACATATTGTAAAAAGGGGCATTATACCACCCCTTTAATAATGTCAGCTGTGTATCACAGACTCGCTCTCTCTTGTTTCATACAAACGCAGCTGCTGCCATTTTGCGACGATTGTTTTGTACACTGTTGGATTATAAAATAACAAACAGGTGTGATTTTAAAACAATTTAATTTCAAATCAATAACTCTTATCCCCATAATTGTTTATGTGGTGATATACAGTGTAATCCGCTTTGCTGTCTTTAATATATGACAGGTCCTGATCACCCTGGCGGGGTTTATTCTGCGATAACAACCGGCTGGATGTACATGATCCCTTACATAACATCCATGATCCTGCACTTTTCCCGCTTAAATATTCTGTTTCAGTCAGAAATTGTTCACATTATGGAAGTTAATTCATTGCAATTACTGCTTCACATATTTAACACTTTGTAGAACCCTCTTTTGGTAACCGTTCTTGACAGTGAGCAATAATCTTTCTTGGCAAATCTGTTCAGGCTCAAGTTGGGCTTTAAGTGAAGCACTCTAGGACATCTACATTTGTGGCTTTAAGCCATTATAGTGGTTCTTTTAGCATGTTCCAGTATGTTTGGGGTAATTGTCCTGCAGGCGGATGTACTGAACTCTCTGTCCTCTTGCATACATGCAGCAGGTCTTTGCCTCAGGAGATTCCCTTACTTAGCACCATGCATTTTTTTCTATCCTGGAGTTTTCCAAGACCCTGCCGCAGAGGAACATCCCCAAAGCATGAATCTGCCACCACCCTTGTCCACTCTAGCGTGATGTTCTTCTCAGTTTGATGTGCTACTTTAAGAATATGCCAAACTGAGGCTCTTCAAAAAATAAATATACTCTTAACTCAGAATCTTCTCCTTAACTGAGGCTCTCGTAAACCAATGTGAATTGCCTAAAGTATGTTAAGCACTAGCAGTGGATGTTAAGGTGCCAAAATTGGAAACTACTGTCCACTTCCTTGTTTTTGTCCCAAAGTCTTGTTTTCAATTTGCATTTGCAAATGGTCTATACCTTGTAATGATTCTACATCCTACGCATGACGTTTTTTGGTAGGACGTTCAGTTTTGTATGGCCAGTTCTTCCTTGATTTTTCATCTTTTCAAAAATAAACCTCTCTGTATACCTTGAGGTAGATTTAAGCCTTGGAAATGTTCTCACATTCTTGTCATTATTCATGATCTAATTTCTACTCAGAATGATCTTCAGAATTCCAGCTCCTAGACCTTCATGGTCTATTGTATTGCTGGAAATGCACAGGAACTCTCCCTGACACAGATCCATGCATTCATATAAATGGAATCAAGCCAAGCAGTTACAGTGCGTGACTTGGAGAAGAATGTTTAGTTAAAACCCAATAATCAAAAGTTATAATAAAGAGATGAATGCTTGAAAAAATATTTATTATCTTCTGGTCTTTTCTAGCCTGGTTAAAACCAGACCATTCTCAGTTGTAACTGAGTTATGGTCTGGCAAAGCGTCATAGACAAATCATTTCCAGAGGGGCGTCACCAACGGACGTCGCGGATAGACCTAAACCCAATCAGAGCGATGAAGGAGATGACGTATGCAGAGCGGCGGAGAAACATCTCCGAGTGTTGTTCTTTGCTCGGTTTTTAACAAAAAGGAAACGTTCAAATCGCTTAAAACAGACGCGATAGCTGATTCGAACGAGTGATGTTCGACGGCGGCATCCATCTTTGTAATGTAGGCTACAAAATCTGCTTCAAAATCCCAGCGCTGTCTTCATCGTGTAAAGCCCGCCCCAACGTTTCTGATTGGTGCCTCGATTTCGACGGATTGGAAATGGGCTTGAATGAGCTCTTTGCCAGACTAACTTTCAGAGCAAATCTAAATTTGCCAGAAGTTGTCTGGGTTTTCCCAGGCTAGGTCTTTTCTCAAATTAGTGCACAATTTTTTATTATTAGTGATGTTATTTTATTTTATTTTCTCTCATCATTTAATTACTCATCAACAGTGCCTGGAAATTTCCATCTCAGACTGTCCAAATTGACATTGAAAGGATCCTTGTTCCCAGAAGTCAAAAGCAAAGCATCATTCATTAAACAAATAAACAAAATGTGTTACCTGACACTAAGTTCACACCTCTAGAGTCAATTCCAAGGCTATTAATACAAAACTCTTTCCAGAGTTCTTCTAAAAATCACACCACTCAAGGCAAACATGAGTTGTAATGTAATATGAGATGCAGTGTTCCCAGAATATATATATATATATATATATATATACATACATACAGTATATACATATACACATATATACATACATATATATATATATATATATATATATATATCGCTATCAGGATTCGCAGAAAGCTGCTTGGTTTAAAAGTGACTCATACATTGCTACACTATATACAATAGACAATGGACCTTTTACCTCAAATTTTCGCAAACATGATTGCACCATTAAGCAAAAGCCTCTAATAGCTCCCCTTTTATTCTACTTCTTCATTCTCCCATTTAGTAGAAACAATTGATATATTAATTAAAGAGATCTTAAAAAAAAAAAAAATCCTATTGACCAGTCCTATTTCACACTCATTAGATCCAAGACCACTAATGAATTCCACTATAAAGACATGAAAATGACAAAATACAAAAAGCCACTCTTGTTCCCCTCCACTGAGAAACAAGACTCTGAAAAATAAATGATGTGTGCATACGTAGAGACGCTCAGCATAGCCATTACAGCCGATTGTAGCGTAGTGTGCTGTCTGCCCTCACACACACACACAACAGACCCTGAAGGGAACGACACAAACAGCTTCCCATTTACACACTCTGACTAAGCCGCATTATGCTTCTCTCTCCGAGCACTATTTATAGCTCCACATGCCCTGATGGGAATCTGTCAGTCTAACGTACACAAACATGCACGTAGGATTCAAACAGTCAGCACTGAAACATGACACATTTATCACAAACTGCATTGCTAATGCTAGAATTTGCTCAGATGAAGTAAAATCAAAATTTATACAGAGCAACAGGTTGGTTGCATTGTCGGATCTTCTATAGATTATTATTATTGAAGAAATTGTTGCCACCAGTACAACACTTGATGTTGTGATGCTAAGGTTGTGCGGGTGTAAGGCGTTGCTATGTTGATACTAGGTTGTTCTGAATTATTTTTAACTAAGTTACTACAGTGTTCTAGATGGTTGTGTATTGTCAGTTAGCTACGCAGTTTCTGGTGAGTGCTAAGTGGTTTCTAAGAGCGTTGTGTTCTTGGTAGTTGCTAAGGTGTTGCTATGTAGTTTCTAGGGAGTGCAGGGTTTTTGGTACAGCATTGTGTTCTGGGTGGCTGCTAAGGAGTTCTGGGTGGTTGCTAAGGTGTTGCCATGCAGTTGCTAGTAAGTGCTGGGTGGTTGCTCGAGCATTGTGTTCTGGGTGGTTGCTAAGGTGTTGCTATGTAGTTTCTAGGGAGTGCAGGGTTTTTGGTACAGCATTGTGTTCTGGGTGGCTGCTAAGGAGTTCTGGGTGGTTGCTAAGGTGTTGCCATGCAGTTGCTAGTAAGTGCTGGGTGGTTGCTCGAGCATTGTGTTCTGGGTGGTTGCTAAGGTGTTGCTATGTAGTTTCTAGGGAGTGCAGGGTTTTTGGTACAGCATTGTGTTCTGGGTGGCTGCTAAGGAGTTCTGGGTGGTTGCTAAGGTGTTGCCATGCAGTTGCTAGTAAGTGCTGGGTGGTTGCTCGAGCATTGTGTTCTGGGTGGTTGCTAAGGTGTTGCTATGTAGTTTCTAGGGAGTGCAGGGTTTTTGGTACAGCATTGTGTTCTGGGTGGCTGCTAAGGAGTTCTGGGTGGTTGCTAAGGTGTTGCCATGCAGTTGCTAGTAAGTGCTGGGTGGTTGCTCGAGCATTGTGTTCTGGGTGGTTGCTAAGGTGTTGCTATGTAGTTTCTAGGGAGTGCAGGGTTTTTGGTACAGCACTGTGTTCTGGGTGGCTGCTAAGGAGTTCTGGGTGGTTGCTAAGGTTTTGCCATGCAGTTGCTAGTAAGTGCTGGGTGGTTGCTTTAACATTGTGTTCTGGGTGGTTGCTAAGGTGTTGCTAGTGAGTGATGGGTCAATGCTAGGGCGTTGTGTTCTGGGTGACTGCTAGGGAGTTCCTGGTGGTTGCAAAGGTGTTGCTAGTGAGTGCTAGGTCAATGCTAGAGCATTGTGTTCTGTGCAATTCTATGCAACTACTAGTACTAAGTGGTTTCTAAAGTGTTGCTAGGTGGTTGCTATAGTGTAACGGATGGTTGCTAGGGTATTTATAGATGGTTAATTGTGCATTCTGGCTGGCTGCTAGGGAGTTCTAAAGGTTGCTAATGCATTGCTATGCATTTGATAGAGAGCTCTGGGTGGTTGATAGAGTGTTGCTAGGTGGTTGCTATGGTGTAAGGGGTGGTTGGTAGGTTGTTTCTAGATGGTTGATCATATGTTTTGGGTGGCTGTTAGGAAGTTTGGAGTGATTGCTAAGGAGTTACTATGCAGTTGCTACTGAGCATTGGACGTTTTCTAGAGTGCTGCTAGGTTGTTACTGTGCTTATGCACAGAAATGTAATAGCACACTCTTCCTCAACAAGCAGCATGATTTCCTACACAATTTTAAATATTATACATGTAGCCAAAAAGCTGTGGGGCGAATGATGTGCCAGAGAGTAACACACATTGTCAGGAGTTTGTATAAATCTACCCTAAATATTCCCAGTAGTAATAGTGATGCTTGCTCAAGAAGGAATACAGAGGTTGGTTCCAAAATCAATGGTGAGAGACTTTGAGCTGGGCTTTAATTAGATTACGGTCTTATGAGGGGAGTTCACGCGTGCCTGTTTCTCATTACAGAGGAAGAACAGCATCATTAAAGCACAGACATCATGAATCATTCTCTTCTGCCCTGTCACAGCGCAATGGAGAGATAAAGACATAAAGAGAGAAAGAAAAAAGAGAGAGGACAAGACAAGCAACAAATATTGAAGGATCTCTGAATCGTAAAATATCTCTAGGGTTACATATAGCTCGACCTCACATATATCTATTTATCGTCTGCCTCTTCTATTCGTTTGTGGGGCTCAACCCCCCTTGTTGTCATGGTGACGTGCCATATAATCCTCATCATTGGTGCTTTGGTTTCGCTATCGTCTCGGAGGCACTGCCCACGCGACCTCGTGACCCCCTCTCATGTCTGCTGCAGATTTACAGACCCAGTATGACAGGCCGTCGAGCGGGGACACCGATCCACAGCGACAAAACACACACACTCTGCCTACAGACATACACACTCATGCTGAAGTTTAAAGACACACAAACAAATTCCTCAGACACACTTGGGCCAACGGATACAGAATGACTCATATCTGTTCTAAAATACACCCATAAATGCCTAAATACACACATACAAACACATTTAAACGGGCACAAAACTATAACAAATATTAGCGCATACACACAGACACATGTGAAATTTACACTACAACACCTTTTGGAAAGATCCAAGATTTAGACGACGTATATCCAAAATTATTTATTGTAATTACGGAGGCAATGATGCTGATTTAAAACAAAATTTAAGATAAAAAAATGTTAATTGAAATAAAGCTGAAATAAAAATAAAATATATATTTTAAAAACATTAAAAAAAAATCTGCCTTGGCAACTACTAACTGAAATAAAATAAGTTTAATAAAATAATCTGAAATAAGAATTAAATAAAGCTAAATATAAAAAAAACTAATAAAAATGAAAAGAACGTAACAAAATTACTAAAAACTTAAATAAAAATGAAAATAAATACTAATTTAAAATATTAATAAATAATAGTATATAAATAATACGAAAATATCACTGATGTTGATAAATATTTTTCATGTTATGGCCGATTATCATATAATTATAAAATAACTTTTTCCCCCCTAATTTTTAAATATTTATATATACATATACATTTTAAACTCAGCAAGTGAATTTATGCATCACAAAACTATAATGTACAGTATGAAAACTAGGTATTCATTTTAGGATTGGGTAAATATTACATTCAACAAGTGTTTTTAAACACAGAATTATTAATGTTTTTAAGATTGCCTTTTCTGTCAAATAACGCTCACTTTTCATAAATGTAAAAAAGGGAACCGAGCGTGCACAATTAAATATCCAGCATTGAATGAATAGAAAAACAAGTCAACCAGCACAGTCGTACATCACACCCTATCATCATGGAAAGTGACCCTTACAGCAAATCAGCAAATGTGTTAGTGAGCTATAATTCTTATTTCCACAGTTCTGTAATGTTGGTTTCTTCTGTTAAGGTCGCAGGCTGCTCTCTTGACTGTACAGAATGTGTGACTCATGAGAAGGGGTTTTAGTTGTGACATCTGCTTATAGAAGTGCACAAAACATACACTGACAGTTCTCTTATGGTTGGGTTTACAGTAGCTGACACATCTGTCGTTAAAGTGGGACTCCAGTGTTTGATGTACTGAGATGTCATGCCTAATAATAGTGTGAATTTTAAATTTTACAATTAAAGTTCTTGTCCAAGTTGAAGTTTAATATATTCACCAATAAGACAGGTTTAATAAATGTTTATGTACCCTACTTATTAATTTGCACCAAACCTTCTTGTTCAGAACTAATTAGTGACTGAAGATATGGGCTGGTGAAAAATCTGAATTAGTTGACATTTTAAATACATTTTTTTTAAAAAAAGGAGAACAAGAAAGGGTGTCCTCCAGTTTTTTCCAACTCAACCATGAAACACACAGTGGAAAAGTAACATATGTTTCTTGGGATATCAAGAAAACAAATAAATAAAATCTGCCATGAGAGGCAATTCCACATTCTTTACCATATTTGTAAAGCTTTGTACTGTCAGCTAAGTTTGGTGAATTGGCTAATACATACAATTTGGCACAACTAAATCAATTGCAAGAATTGCACAACTATGCAAAATGCAAACAAAATCTTTAACACAATTTCAATAATACTTGAATAAATGGTGAATATGTCAAATTTTTCTAGGCCAGACATCACTTTTGGCCACTACTGTAAATGCAGCCAAAGCTAAAGGAATATCTATTGATACTTACAGATCAAACCTTATGTTCTGTCTTTCTTCAAAGAAGTAGTCCAATAAGAATTTGCGCACAAAATCTGGGTTCAAAGTGTTATCGATAACTTCCGTCCGCCCAAACTGAAAAACAAAGGAAGGTCAATTGAAATGATTTACATGAACATATTTTTATTTTTATTCACCCTCTTTTTTTCTTTTTTTTTTGAAAGCCAAGGTTCTCACAAGCTTGAGGTAACCTTCAGTTTAATAGTGTGATTTCTAGACCTGGAAATGTCATGTAAATTAATAAAAACTTTGAACGCCATGGGCATTAGTTACGCTGTCACAGTCACTCAGTCACAAAGTCACTCCACGGACGCGGGTATTTTTATAACCGTGACTTTTTTTACGCGGTTCGGCCGTTCGTCCACACGAAAACGCACTGAAACCGAACATTTTTGAAAACCCCTGCCAGGGTGAGGATTTTCAGAAACGCCGGTTACAGTGTTGTCGTGTAGACAGTGAAACCGGGGTTTTTGCCTTGCGACGTCAGAGTGTGCGCCGTTATCCGCTGTGTTTGACGTCAGATTTGCGCTTCTGATTGGCCAGCGTGGCTTTACCGTTAAGGTTTATATCGCCGCCTGCTGGCGTGGCATGCTCTTGACCGCGCTTGATAGCGTTTTCATGTAGACGGAGACCGAGCATGTGTGGACGGGATTTTTTTTTTAAACGCTGTAGGAAAAACTCCGGTTATAAAAATACCCGTGTCCGTGTGGACAAGGCCTCAGTTTGGACTAAGTTTTCATTTGCACCATTTTTCCCTGCCTTGTTTGTTGTCATGATTTCTGATTTGTGTCTTCACAAAGTCCTTTTAGGCAAGTCATGCCACTCGGCCGCCATCTTGGCAACGCCTCCGGGCAGCTATTTCGGACTAACAAGACCAGGCTCCTATCTAAATGAATGGGCAGAGAGTCAGAACTGCAGTTTCACTGGTCACCGGGACATAAAAACTGCATGTATAGAACAGCAGTAAATTATGATAAAAATCGCTGAAAAAGTTTGATGACTTTGCCCCAAAATAAGGTTTAAAAGGCCTTTTTCCCCACAGGTTATACTTTTACTACGCATGTGCAAGGGTTCTCTCCCTCGGTTGTGCGTGCGCTACACAGTTTGAAGCACAGTATGTGCGAGCTCCTGCTCGCTCGCTCTAGATCCCGGGAGATTTGAACTAATTTGCGGGCATCAGGGAGCCGCTATCAATCTGCGGGAGACTTCTGATGTCTGATATTACACAACTCACACATACACTGGATATCAAATCTGCCGCCTTTTCAAACAGTAACATATTTTGCGCTGTCGCAAACCTCAACTGTGCGCATGCGTCGGTGGAACCAGACGATAGGCTTAAATGTTTCCCGGCTTGACTGTTAAAAGAAGACGATTGGCTTTCCAGCGGGAGGGGCGGGACATGTGCATACAACCGCCATCTTTGGCGTTACGGGTTTTCCCTATATAGTTGTATTAAGGATTGATGAAGTGGCATGTCTCTATAGAAATAGTCTCTGGTCTTCATTACTGTCGGCTGTGTGTCGTTAATCACATTCATTTGCACCTGTATTTAAGTTCCCTTGTTTCTGTTCATTGTTGTCGGGTCTTGTCTATGTTGGATGTGTGTTTTGCTACTCTTACTCTGTGGATTTATTAAAGACTGCCTAATCATCTTCATCTTCGTGTGTATTATACCAGCACAATCCGTGACAGAAGACCCAACACAGATGTGATTACGCCACGCATTACATTGAGTGTTTCTCATGTGTGCGTTTCCCCCCCCCGGTTTTTGTGATTTTCTTTTCCATCATGGACAATGCTGCTTTTTTGTTGATTAGCCTTGAGTAGGGATGGGCAAATGAAGCCTCATGAAGCACTGATTGTTTCGGGAATAGATTCAAAGCTTCGAGAGTGTCGAAAACAGCGCCATCTGGTGTTTAGCAAAAAATAAAGCAGCCAAAACCCTGTGAAAAAAGCTTTTGTCGGATGAAGCAGCCACCACGCATTCCTTAGCCTAGATAGTTTCATGTTATGTGCACAAATAAAGGCCTAACAGTGTGTGTGAGTGTGTGTTGAATTTCTCTCTGTGATAAATACATTAAGCTGTGGCATTTAATGGCAGTATGAATATCAATATGATGTAATAGAATAATGTACACATATATAAATTGCATGGCAAATATGTTATTTTCTTGAATTCATTTGTATTCTTCATATTAACTGTATGACTGGGTATTTAAAAATGTAATTGAATAAGTCTGAATGAAAACTTACTCGTAAAGTAAGATATGGAAAATGAATCGCGCACGTAATTGAACAGAAAGCGAGGCTTCGTTTGTCACGGGTCACGGGATTTCTACGTTAACAACACAAGCCTCGAATCGCGGCTTCATCTGGCACGCCCATTTATGCTCAACACGAGCTCCGACGCCTCGGTTCAAATGTCACATCACTGGCCTTGAGCAGATAACTCGCTCCGTCGAGGAACATGTGGAGGATTTCCTGTTCCTAGCCCATCTCACCAACTACCCAGAAAACTCCAAGAAAGCAGTTTTCTGGGGACGTCCCTCGGGGGAGCTTCGCTGATTACGTGGAGTGGGTGCTGGTATCCAGTGGATCAGCGCTAACCACCGGACCAGTGGATGATGATACCAGCCCCACTCCTCACCCAGTGCCCAGCCAGAGACCATCCAACTGCGAGAATTGACAGCATGAGCCCACCGCAGACCAAGAGCCTGTCTCCGCCACAATGTTTGGGCCCATGCCTAGAGTAGCGATCGAGCAGGACATCACCCCGAAGCCTGAGCTAGCCGAGTCTGACCAGGTGTGAGAGCCGGCTGCCAATCATCGCCGTGGGAGTCCTCGTGCAGTACGAGGGGATGGAATTGAGTTCCGTCTGGATTTAATGGACTGTTTTTTGTTTGGAAAGTTGGATCCCCTTCTTCCTTTAATCCCGCCTGAACTTGAATCATCATCATCTGACCGGCTGCCCCCACCCTACCTCCCTCTCCCACCACCTCTACAAATCAGTATTAATGACTTTGTTTTCTCAGTCTTTGTTTGTCTCTACAAGCCCTTCTCCAGTCCCCAGCCATTCTTGCCACCCAGTTATCTCTGGCTTCCATCAGCCCCTCAGCAACAACTATGGCCCTGTCCCAAATGGCGCACTTCATGCTGACTTTCGGTCTCGTGGACTTAAATTGCGCATGCTCGCCGAGTCTACGAGTCCATAGGCCGTCCCGTTTAGCATTTTAACGCTCTGAAGTGTGCTCAGCAGCGCCCCATTTGTACCCTTGAAGCGGTCTTCCGCGAAGCCCGCATAGATGCAGGCTCCACGCACTTTAACTACCCAGGAATCCTTGCGAAAGGCCAATCAGACAACGGATGGGAGGAGATTTCGCTCACGGACAATTGTTAACATGGCTGAGAAGAAAATTTTTAAGTGTCATTACGGTTTTTATGACAAGTTTATACAAATATTATGATCATCGACCAGTGGTTGATGTCTCAAACATAGGCTTATAATAGCGAGCTGAATAATACGATCGCATTATGATTCATTAAATAAATAGAACAGAATGTCAGGGCTTTACTGAGTCATATGTAAACACAACAACAATAGGCAGCATATTTCCCCGAACCTGTAGCTCCTGTCCATAACAACAATCAGACCGTCTTCCTGTTTCCGGCGAGTCTGTCCCGAAAATACCTCTCAACGCGCCCTCGCGGACTCGTGCTAAGGGCCCTATAGGTCTGCACTACATGACGTCACCGAAGTGTGGACTCTGAGGAAGTCCACAAGTCCGGAGTGTCCCATTTGGGACAGGGCCTATGCCTCTTCAGTGGCGTGGTTATACATCCTGCCTGCTGTGAGCCACCTCCTTCTGGAGTCTGTGGCTCCGCCTTCGGCCTCAGAACACTCCGGTCCACCTCGACCCGTATCCTGGCTCCTGCGCTCGTTCCTCCCTCGACTCCAGCAAGGACCATCGGGCATTCGGCCTCGCCAGGCTCCCTCGGACCATCCGCTCCAGCTTCACCTCTGCCCTCCAGCCCCCCGCTTCCATCTCGGGGGGTCGTCGCTGCAGCTTCATTGCGGCAGCCAAGGTCTTCAGTCTCCCTACTCTTCAATTGGCTCTTCGGCTGCGCGGTGGGCTCCACCTCCTACGCCGTCGTTGCCTCCGGTCATCCCCACGATAGAGTCTGGACTCTATTCTCCATGGTTCCTCCCTCCAGCTTTAATCACCTTCATTTGCACCTGTATTTAATTTCCCTTGTTTCTGTTCATTGCTGTCAAATCTCGTCTATGTTAGATGTGTTTCACTACTCTTACTCTGTGGATTACCCTGTGGATTTATTAAAGACTGCCTAATTATCTTCATCTTCGTGTCCGTGTGTATTATACCAGTCCCCCAGCACAATCCATGATATGTGTCAAGCCCTAAAATATTTTATCAAATTTTTGTGCCAAACGCGTATGTTATCAAATCAAAACATATGGAGTGGCTGATTCAGTACATATTTTAAACTAGTTATAAAGGTCTACAGTCACATTTATTGCTGTTTTGCAAATTTTTACAGGTGAAATCCAGTCATTTCAATAGGATTCCACATGATCAGGATCTTCCCAAGAAAGTGACTTCTTTGTGAAGTGTGCTTCATGCATCTCTACACTAATATCTACACAATGAACCTTTTTTGCCCTTGAAATTTAGCTAATTTGACCACACCTTCATTAATTTTCATTAACCAAGTGTATATTAAAATTTCGTAAAGTGTTTCGAATCCTTTTTTTTTTTATTTCTAAGCGCAAATACAAGTTTTCAATGTTCACTACATACACCTCCCACTTTCTTGCTACCTTCAACACCTTTCATATGGAGGTCAAAGAGGTACATGTCAGCGTTGAGAGGTGCGTTAAAGCCTTGACATGAATCATGTAAAAGGGACTTAACGTTTTAATTAGCCGACTTGAAAAGTGCGCTGGAGTTGTCTTGATATAAGCGTGGGCGAGAATGTTATTACATCTCCTGAGTGGCTTATCATATTTCACCAGCTAGTGATTGAAGTTAATAAATACACAGTCCTCTTAATGGGGCTTTAGAAAGCCAGATATTTCCAGAGATTATTATTTTGAGAATATTCCAACCCCACATTTACATGTATGAATATTTATGCGACCAAGGGTCTGCCAGGCCCTTCAAGGGGTCGACACGACTAAGCCAGATTGTTTCACTCACCTCTCTCCACTCTTTGTTGCCAATGGCTTGGGTGTATAGCACACAGACTGTGGAGAGAAAAAGAGATTGGGTTACACAAAGGCAGAGAATTTTTTCAAATACCAGAAGATCTTTGACATTCTTAACTCAGATCTGTAAGTGTGTAATCTTGCAGTCTACTGTATTTGAAGAGAAACGGCTTAGAACCAGAGTGGTGGAATGCGATGAGCTAAAAATCTCACTGGATGAGCTACAAAGCTGCCATTTTCAACTCACCCGCATGTCGTTCTAAACCTGTATTACTTTCTTTAAAAAAAAAGATATTTTGAAGAATGTTGGTAATCAAGCAGTTTTAGTGCCCACTAACTTCCATTGTATGAAAAAAGCCATTTTTCAAAATATCTTTTTGTTTTTCACAGAAGAATTAAATTCATAGACTTTTTGAATGTAACGAGGGTGAGTAAATTATGAGAAAATCAACCCTTTTAATACGACAGTAATATTAACATAATATTAACCATTAAAGGGATAGTTCATCATAAAAATTAAAAATAAATAGCAGAGGTGTCTATTTACATCAAGTGCCAATAGGTCGCCTTGAGGCTTTTGAGACTAACTTCGCCTATAATTGTCTGATTGAGCCAGACAAAATTATAAACGGAGTAAGGCGGGTAGTGTTAGTGTTTGACACGACCGACCCAAGTTTCTGAAACTCATTCTTCTCACTTTTCCCATATCAGCTCAGAGAGGTGTTTATTTTAAATGCAATGAAGTGGAAATAAAGTATTTAATTGGCCTATTATTGGAATTGGATGTGGTGTCCTCATAAAAAAACATTTGCACCAGATTTCATGTGCAAATTCATGCATACAGTTAGTGAATGAGACCCAATGTCCTAGAGCTGTGGGTAGAGAAAAATGGCTACAGAATGTGCATGTGTGTGTTTTTGCAATACAGAAACCTAAAGCCTAAGGCACGACTACTGAAAAATGCATTTTTCATTTTGTATAACTGAGTGTGTACACATTTTTCTATGTGTGTCATGGTTAATGGTAACACTAAGAGACTCGGCCAACAGTACTCAGCATAGTTAAGATGGGGGCTCAGCACAAGTGCCCACTTGCATGAATACAATGACCCTGTCAGCGGGCCAGGAAGACCTGACATCTATTCAGTCCAGCTAATCATGAACAGAACCAGTAAGAAAACAAATGGCAATAACATGAAAATAAAAAGACACTTACAAAAGGTCAAGCATAGCTACAGCAATGCATGAAAGCGAAACAGGTGGAATAGTGGACAAACAAATCTGAAAGAAAAGAGAAGCAGGCAAGAAAAAAATGAAGCAGGACAGTAAGACAAGTACAAGCATTAGAAGTATGGAAATCAATACATATAATGAAAATAATAGCAGGGTGACTGACTGCTCACTGTTCCTGTTTCCTGTTCACACATACACATGGTGCAAAAGGAAACATTAAAGACGTTCAGCACTCATGGTTCTTGTTATTGTTCTCCCCACTGTTTGCCAGTAAACAAACTTGATCAATAAATACAGAGAGTTTTCAAAGATTTGATATCAGATTTGAGTGAATATAGTAATAAAGTATATAGGAATGTAGCAAATGAATGGGTAAATTATGGCTGTGACAAAAACGGTTTTAGTTTCACTGAAAGGCCAAAAACACTCCCCCCTTCGGGTCACATACAGGCTGTCAGTGACAGTATTCCCCACGGCCACTGCCCAAGCTATAAGCCTCAAAGAGGCCTCCGATACAATGAAGGCCTACTAAGGCTGCTCAAGGCTTTGGAACCAACAACTTCCATGGAAGGGGTTCCTTTAAAGCAGGGGTCTCAAACTCAACTTAACTGGGGGCCGCTGGAGGTGGAGTCTGGGTCAGGCTGGGCCGCATCAAGTATTCCACAAAAAATAGTATTCAAGTATTCCAAAAAAGGAGCACAACTGAACTGATCCAATCTTCATGAGCTGTCCTTCTGACAGTTGAAGTTCATTTTCCTTATACACAAAATCTTTGTGTTACTTCATTTTACAAACATTCTTTTTCTTTTCCTTATAACACATATTTGCGATACTTATATTTGCTTATGTCCTTTTTATTTTCTTTATACAACACATTAATGATATTGAATGTTTTTTTTGGAAGGCACATATCCTTTTATTATACTTAGAAAAACGATTATTGCTTTTGAAATACAAATATTTGCAGTCATGTCTGCCCGTCTTAGGGCCTGTTCACATATCGCGTCTTTTGCGCGCTCAAGTTGTCACGGCACGAAAGAACAGTCGTGGATTCAATCGCGAGTGAATACAGGTGTTTATTAAACACAAGGTAGTGGCAAACAGTGCAGTGGATGACAGACAGGCGACCGAACCCAGGCTCGGTAACACAGGACTCCGTGGGCAGACGGCAAGGCAGGAACAGTAGAATCCTCTCAGAAACGGGCAGATACCACAGAACAGGAACAGTCTCTGGAAGCGGCTGCAGCTTCCCAGAACGAGGCGGAGACACCAGATCAGGCACGGACTGGATACGGCTGACGCTCCTCAGAACAGGGCAGAGTCCAAATAACAGGAGAAACAGACACTGGGCAAGGAGAAAGGACGGTGAGTAATCCGTGAACCTCAACAACCATCTGACAGAGACCAGACAACATGACAAACAATATATAGGACATTCTCATTCAAAACAGCTGGCGCTGATCAGCTCATCAGCGGAGATAACGAGCCGTGCTGATGAGCCGCGCCCATTCACACAACACGCACACACCTAGCGAGGGCGAGTCAATGAATCCATGAACCGTGACAGTACCCCCCCTCCTAGGAATGCCGCCTGGCATTCCCAGACACCCTTACCTGTCGATTGTAATCATCGATAAGGGAGTGGTCCAGGATGTCCCTGGCAGGAACCCAACTTCTCTCCTCCGGACCGTAACCCTCCCAGTCCACCAAATACTGGAATCCGCGTCCCCTCCGTCTCGAATCCAGTATACGATTAACCGAATACGTTGGTTCCCCATCTACGAGTCGCGGCGGGGGGGGAACCGGGGCAGGCGGATTAATGTGTGAATGAAACACAGGTTTAATCTTAGATACATGGAAAACGGGATGAATCCTTCTGTACGCTGGAGGAAGGTTGAGGCGGACTGCCACCGGACTAATGATCTTGGTGACAGTAAATGGGCCAATGAATTTGGGAGCAAGTTTATTAGAAACGGAGCGGAGCGGAATGTTCCTGGTTGAAAGCCACACTTTTTGACCAACGACGTATACGGGAGGTTTAGACCGGTGGCGATCGGCCTTAGCCTTGGTGCGTGCACCCACCTGGAGCAGAGTCTCACGGGCTCTGATCCACGTGCGTTGACACCTCTGGATAAAGGCGTGGGCGGAGGGAACCGCGACTTCGGATTCCAGACTGGGAAAAATTGGTGGCTGGTAACCTACACTACACTCAAACGGAGATAGGCCCGTTGACGACACCGGTAACGTATTGTGCGCGTACTCCACCATAGAGAGTTGCTGACTCCAGGAAGAAGGATTCTTGGAGACCAAACATCGTAACGCCCTTTCCAAATCTTGGTTGGCTCTCTCGGTTTGGCCATTGCTCTGGGGATGAAACCCTGAGGACAGACTGACAGTCGCTCCCAGCAATCTACAAAATTCTCGCCAAAATTTGGACACAAACTGGGGTCCCCTGTCGGAGACCACGTCCACCGGGAGGCCATGTAAGCGGAAGACGTGGTCTACGACTGTCAACGCCGTCTCCTTGGCTGAAGGTAATTTGGGCAAGGGGATGAAATGAGCCGCCTTAGAGAACCGGTCCACCACGGTTAAAACGACCGTGTTACCTTGGGAGGGTGGGAGGGCGGTAATAAAATCTAGCGCTATGTGGGACCAGGGTCTCGAAGGGACAGGCAGCGGTTGAAGTAACCCATCTGGAGGTCGATTGGAAGTCTTACCAATGGCACAAATCGAGCAAGCCAAAACAAAACTGTGGATGTCACGAGCCATAAGTGGCCACCAGAATCGTTGCTTGACTAAATAACTAGTTCGGTTAACTCCTGGATGACAAGCCACGTTGGAACAATGCCCCCACTGGATAACGTCGGACCGTAATCCCTCCGGCACAAACAAACGATTCGGTGGGCAACCGGGCGGAGGCGTTACCCCTTCTAAGGCCGACTTGACCTTCGACTCGACCTCCCATGTGAGTGTGGAGACAAATAGGGTCTCGGGTAAAATGCACTCGGGAGTAGACGGGCGTTCGGAACGGTCAAAAATACGAGATAAAGAGTCGGGTTTGATGTTCTTGGAACCCGGGCGATACGAGAGAACAAAATCAAAACGACCGAAAAAAAGTGCCCACCGAGCCTGCCTGGAGTTCAATCTTTTGGCAGTTCTGATATATTCCAAGTTCTTGTGATCGGTCCAGACGATAAAAGGTACCCCCGACCCCTCTAGCCAGTGACGCCATTCCTCCAACGCTAACTTGACTGCCAACAACTCTCTGTTACCGATGTCGTAGTTACGTTCGGCAGGCGATAAACGGCGGGAAAAAAACGCGCAGGGATGCATCTTGTCGTCTGTGGGAGAACGCTGGGACAGCACTGCTCCTACCCCCACCTCTGACGCATCGACCTCCACCACGAACTGACGTGATGAATCAGGGGCTATAAGGATGGGGGCTGAAACGAAGCGGCCTTTAAGTTTAGCAAACACAGCCTCAGCTGTGTCTGACCACCTGAACACCGTTCTGGGGGAGGTCAAGGCAGTCAGAGGCGCGGCTAGTTGGCTGAAGTTGCGAATAAAACGCCGGTAGAAGTTGGCGAACCCCAGAAACCTCTGTAGGGCCTTACGGGAATCTGGACTTGGCCACTCCACCACAGCCTTAACCTTCTCAGGATCCATTCGTATTCCCTCAGACGAGATGATGTACCCTAGAAAAGGAACAGACTGTGCATGAAACGCGCATTTCTCCGCCTTGACAAAAAGCCCATTCTCTAGCAACCTCTGAAGCACTCGTCTGACGTGTTGAACGTGCTCCTGGAG